AGTTCTTTGGTGGAAATTTCCTCCTATCCGATCTGTTTTATTTCATCTTTTATTTTGACATCATTTAATATTTGTCCTTCAGCAATAATAAGAGACACTAACAGATTCTTGAGAATATAGATTTAGAGTCCCTGTTTAATCCTTTTTTTTTTTTTTTAGAGACAGAGTCTCACTTTATTGCCCTTGGTAGAGCGCTGTCGCATCACAGCTCACAGCAACCTCAAACTCCTGGGCTTAGGTGATTCTCCTGCCTTAGCCTCCCAAGTAGCTGGGACTACAGTTGCCCACCACAACACCCAGCTATTTTTTTGTTGCAGTTTGTCCGGGGCCAGGTTTGAACCTGCCACCCTCGGTATATGGGGCCAGTGCCCCACTCACTGAGCCACAGGTGCCGCCCAAGCTCCTTTATATTTCATTTAGGATTTTCCCCAGTAAATCCTGTTTTGTTTTGTTTTTTGAGACAGAGTCTCACTTTGTCACCCTCAATAGGGTGCCATGGCATCATAGCTCACAGCAACCTCAAACTCATGGGCTCAAGTGATTCTCTTGCCTTAGCCTCCCAAGTAGCTGGGCTAAAGGCTCCTGCCACAACACCTGGCTATTTTTAAAGACAAGGTCTTACTCTTGCTGCTCTTTAACTCCTGAGCTCAGACAATCCACCCAACTCAGCCTCCCAAGAGTGCTAGATTTACAGGTGTGAGCCACCTGACTGGCCTAGGAAATCCTGTTAGTAGCACAATTATATGCTTTTCTCTTGTGTCAGTCTATCAGGTGTTTGAAAGTGTGGCCAAGAAGTATGATTTGATGAATGATGCAATGTCTCTTGGTGTCCATCGTGTTTGGAAGGATTTGCTGCTCTGGAAGATGAATCCACTTCCTGGGACCCAGCTGCTTGATGTTGCTGGAGGCACAGGTAATGTTGAATTCAGTATCCTTGGGAATCACTGAGCATCATTTACAGAAATTAGTGTCTCTAGCCGGGTGTTGTGGTGGATGCATATAGTCCCAGCTATTTGAGAGGCTGAGGCAAGAGAATTGCTTAAGCCCAAGAGTTTGAGGTTGCTGTGAGCTGTGACACCACGGAACACTATCGAGGCTAACATAGTGAGACTGTCTGAAAAAAACAAACAAATAAAAGAAATTAGTGTCTCTTGTTGGAATGACCTAGCTTACCTACCATTAGACTGAAGATCAGGATACTTACAACTTCTGAGAAAGGTGTGTACTTTTCTTTTTCACTGAATATCAATCAAAAGCACAGAATATCAGTTTTGTGCCTGTCACTTTTCTAAAATACATAGAATTACAAAGTATAAAGACCACTTTTTTGGCTCGGTGCCTGTGGCTCAAGCGGCTAAGGCGCCAGCCACATACACCTAAGCTGGCGGGTTTGAATCCCGCCTGGCCCACCAAACAACAATGATGGCTGCAACCAAAAAATAGCAGGGTGTTGTGGCAGGGGCCTGTAGTCCCAGCTACTTGAGAGGTGGAGGCAGGAGACTAGCTTGAGCCCAGGAGTTGGAGGTTGCTGTGAGCTGTGATGCCACAGCACTCTACCCAGGGGGATAGCTTGAGGCTCTGTCTCAAAAAGAAAAAAAAAAAAGACCACTTTTTGACCAATAACATTTTGCAATATGTATGACTGTTTTATTTTCCGCAGGGGAGCACTTTCTCACATTATAGGAGTTTTCTCAGGAGCATTTTCTGCCTAATCTGCTCTCACATTGGGTAACAAAAGCTTAATTGTTTATGCATAGTCCCTTTTTATTTGTTGCACAAATGTCATGGGTTTCTAAACTGCATCTTGGTGATGCATTGTACATGTTACATTAGAATAATGTATCATATAATGTATAAATTACAATAGAATAATAAGTTACAATAGAATAATCTCTATATTTGTAATATGTTTATGTGTGACTCTGTTAATATGGCCCTCTCTGCAAATGAAAGATCAGAAGGCCATAAGGTACCTTGCTCTGTGGAGGACAATTTAGCACAGTCTATCAGAATATAAAATGCAAATAGTCAGCTGGGTGTAGTGGCTCATGCCTGTAATCTTAGCACTCTGGGAAGCTGAAGCTGATGGATTGCTTGAGCTCAGGAGTTAAAGAACAGCAAGAGTGAGACCCCATCTCTAAACAAAAGTAGCCAGGTTAGCTGGGCCTTATGGTGGGCACCTGTAGTCCCAGCTACTTGGGAGACTGAGGCAAGAGAATTGCTTAAGCCCAAGAATTTGAGGTTCCTGTGAGCTGTGACACTACGGCACTGTACTGAGGGCAGCATAGTGAGACTCTGTCTCAAAAAATAAATAAATAAATAAAATGAAAAATAAAAAAAATTAGCCGGGAATTGTGGCAGATACCTGTAGTCCCAGCTACTCAGGAAGCTGAGGCAAGAGGATCACTTAAGCCCAGGAGCTTGAGGTTGCTATGAGCTATGACACCAAGGACAACAAAGTGAGACTCTTGTCTCAAAAAAAAATAAAAATAAAACATGCACACAGGAGGTAGAGCAAGATGACAGACCAGAAAGATTGTTCAGCTGAGCTCTCCTAGAATGACTGGGGTAAAAAGAGAGAACCCAGCCATACCTGGTAAGGGACCTTACCCAGTCATAGCTCAGGCAAGCACAGTGAGGAGGTGGTGAGCTGGATACAGCATATGATCTGGAACAGGTGAAATCTGCTGAATTAGGTAAGTGATTAAATGTGGCTGGTATTGACTGCCCCCCCAAGGTGCAAGATGGGAAGAAGCCTTTCCAAAGTTTTCAGTTGTTGGGGGAAGCTGCATGTTGAGTGGAAAGCTTGGAAGAGTGGGCAGACTCAAATAGTATACAGCAACCAGATTTGAATGCTGGTTGGAGTGGGTTTGCCATAGGTTTGGTGGCTGGAGAGGCAGCCATACTGAGATGGTCTCTGAAGGTTGTGACATGGTCTTAGCAGGGGCCTAAAGTGTGGCCATCTTAATTCCACCTGCCAGGATCAGAACTCCACTCTTAGGACAGGCAGAGGGACTTCTGCACCCAACAGGAACTGGAGTCAGAGGGCACTGTGAGACCTGCCCCTGAAGGATTTTTGTGAGTTTTAAGATCCCAAACTGGCAGGGTCTGAATGATGAAGAAACAATCAAGCAATCACTGAAGGCAACTAAGTTTGGAATAAGGACCATAGAGGTACTGGCTATGCTCTCTGTCTCCAAAAACAAAAAAACAAACAAAAAACCAAAACAGCGCCACCTGGTGTCCCTGAGACATGTTACAACATACTGTCATCAAGAGCAAAGACTTCTGTTTGAAACAAAGGAGGCAGTGAGCAGTAAAAAGGAGGACAAAGAGGTTCTGAGTTTGAAGAACTAGTTAATTTATACAAAAAAAATTGAATTAGGGCATTTAAGTGTTCTTGGCTTTTAATTTTCCCAGCTAAGGACATAAAACAAAAATAGGATAAAAAACAGGCTACCATCTGCTATTAGTGTTATTATGTAAGAGAAAATATATTTTAGCACCACAAAAGTAGGAAGAACATAATCTCACAATAAAGCATTGTCATTTCTTTTTTTTTTTTTTTTT